TAAATCAAATCCCTTACAATTATATAGTGGAAGTGGAAAATAAATTCAAAGGATTAGATCTGATAGAGTGCCTGAAGAACTATGGACAGAGGTTCATAACACTGTACGGGAGGCAGTGATCAAAACCATCCCCAAGGGGGAAAAAAAGTGCAAAAAGGCAAAATGGTTGAGGAGGCCCTACAAATAGTTGAGAAGAGAAGTGAAAGGCAAAGGAGAAAAGGAAAGATATAGCCATCTGAATGCAGAGTTCCAAAGAATAGCAAGGAGAGATAAGAAAGCCTTCCTCGGTGATCAATGCAAAGAAACAGAGGAAAACAATAGAATGGGAAAGACTAGAGATCTCGTCAAGAAAATTAGAGATACCAAGGGAACATTTCATGCAAAGATGGGCACAATAAAGGATAGAAATAGTATGAACCTAACAGAAGCAGAAGATATTAAGAAGAGGTGGCAAGAATACACAGAAAACTATACAAGAAAGGTCTTAATGACCTGGAACCACAATGGTGTGATCACTCACCTAGAGCCAGACATTCTGGAGTGTGAAGTCAAGTGGGCCTTAGGAAGCATCACTGAGAACAAAGCTAGTGGAGGTGATGGACTTCCAGCTGAGCTGTTTCAAATCCTAAAGGATGATGCTGTTAAAGTGCTGCACTCAATATGCCAGCAAAACTGGAAAACTTAGCAGTAGCCATAGGACTGGAAAAGGTCAGTTTTTATTCTAATCCCAAAGAAGGGTACTGCCAAAAAAGAAGGGCAACACCAAAAAATGTTCAAACTACCACACAATTGCACTCATTTCACATGCTAGCAAAGTAATGCTCAAAATTCTTCAAGCTAGTCTTCAACAGTACATGAACAGAGAACTTCCAGATGTTCAAGCTGGATTTAGAAAAGGCAGAGGAACCAGAGACCAAATTGCCAACATCCACTGGCCCATAGAAAAAGCAAGATAATTCCAGAAAAATATCTACTTCTGCTTCATTAGTTACACTAAAGCCTTTGACTGTGTGGATCACAACGAACTGTAGAAAATCCTTCAAGAGATGGGAATACCAGACCACCTTAACTGCCTCCTGAGAAACCTGTATGCAGGTCAAGAAGCAACAGTTAGAATCAGACATGGAACAACAGACTGGTTCAAAATTGGGAAAGGAGTGCATCAAGGCTGTATATTGTCACCCTGCTTATTTAACTTATATGCAGGGTACATCATGAGAAATGCCAAGCTGGATGAAGCACAAGCTAGAATCAAGACTGGAGAAATATCAATAACCTCAGATATGCAGATGATAGCACCATTAATTGTCAAAAGTGAAGAAGAACTAAAGAGCCTTGTGATGAAGGTGAAAAAGATGGCTTAAAACTCAACATTCAGATTACTAAGATCATGGCATCAGGTCCTATCACTCCATGGCAAATGGAAAACAGTGATAGACTTTCTTTTCTTGGGATCCAAAATCACTGCAGACAGTGACTATAGCCATAAAATTAAAAGATGCTTGCTCCTAGGAAAAAAGCTATGACCAACCTAGACAGTGTATTAAAAAGCAGAGACATTACTTTACCAACAAAGTCCATGTAGTCAAAGCTATGGTTTTTCCAGTAGTCATGTACGGAAACAGATGTGAGAGTTGGACCATAAAAAACAGAGTGCCGAAAAATGGATGCTTTCGAACTGTGGTCCTGGAGAAGATTCTTAACAGTCCCTTGGACTGCAAGGAGATCAAACCAGTCAGTCCTAAAGAAAGTCACTCCTGAATATTCATTGGAGGGACATATGTTGAAGCTGAAGCTCCACTACTTTGGCCACCTGATTCGAAGAGCCAACTCACTGGCAAAGACTCTGATACTGGGAAAGATTGAAGGCGGAAGAGAAGGGAAAACAGAGGACAAGTTTGTTGGATGGCATCACTGACTCAATGCACATGAGTTTGAGCAAACTCTGGGAAATGGTGGACAGGGAAGCCTGGTGTGCTACAGTCCATGGGGTCGCAAAGAGTTGAACATGCCTGAGCGACTTAACAACAACATATCATAGAAAGGGCATGCTACACTGTATTTAACTACTCGCATATTGAGAAACATTTGCTATAATAAATAATTCTGCAGTCAGAATCTTTAAGGTTTTTTTTTATGCTATACACGTGTGTGTGTGTGTGTGTGTGTGTGTGTACTCAGTCACTCCATCATGTCTGACTCTTTGTGACCACATGGACTGTAGCCCATCAGGCTTCCCTACCCTTGGAATTTTCCAGACAAGAATACTGGAGTGGGTTGCCATTTCCTACCCAAGGGAATCCTCCCAACCCAGGGATTGAACCTGTGTTTCTTGCATCTCCTGCATTGACAGGTAGACTCTTTGCCACTGTGCCACCTGGGAGCCCTTAAGGTTCTTAGGATTTTTTGAATCTATGCAGAGTCTCCAAACTGTGATTACTGGTAGATGGTATGTTTAGATCTTCATTTAATTCATTTAAAAAATATTTACTTTAGGCCACATGGTATCTTAGTTGCAATGCAGAGGATCTTTTGTTGTGGCACTCAGGCTTAGTTGCCCCGTGGCATGTGGAATCTTAGTTCCCCAACCAGAAATGGAACCCAAAGCCCAGCATTGGAAGGAGGATTCTTAACCACTGTACCACCAGGAAAGTCCCTATTTGATACATTTAAAATTTTTGTTTGTTTAGGGTATCAAGCAGGAAGGAATGTGTTCTACGTTAGTTAGGTTATGGATTTGGCTGCAGGTGAGATGGCTGGATGGCATCACCAACTTGATGGGCATGAGTTTGAGTTAACTCCGGGAGTTGGTGATGGACAGGGAGGCCTGGCATGCTGCGATTCATGGGGTCGCAAAGAGTCGGTGACGACTGAGCGACTGAACTGAACTGAACAAAAACTTCCAATGGCTATTACTTATATAACAGTCAATTATGTCAGCAATATTTATAAAATAAACCATTTCCCACTGAATTAAAATGCCTTCCTATTTTTTTTTATGTAGACCATTTTTAAAGTCTTTATTGAATTTATGGAATATTGCTTGTTATTTTAAATTGCTGTTCGGTTTTTTTTCCTTTTTTAAAATTTTATTTTATTTTTAATTGGAGGATAATTGCAATATGCTGATGGTCTGCCATACATCAACATAAATCAGCCATAGGCATACATATGTCCCCTCTCTCTTAAACCTCCTTCCCACTTCCCTCCCCCACCCACCTCTCTAGATTATCACAGAGCTATTGCTTCTGTTTTCTGTTTTTGTTTTTTGACCTCAAGGCATGTGGGGTTTTAACTCCCTGACCAGGGTTGAACCCTCACCCACTACATGGAAGGTGAAGTCTTAACCACTGGACTGCCAAGAAAGTCCCTAAACTGTTCCATTTTTATATTAAAAGAGTTTTATAGTAATTGTTAGCTGCTCTTATTATATTAATTTATAGTTGCTGATATCTTAGTAATTTATCTTCTGTTAACTGTTTGATTTAAGCTATTTGATTTACACTATTTCCACAGATCAAGTTAAAGTCGGTTAAACTTGTTTTGTATAAACTGGTTTGTCCTGGCACCTGGATATCATCATTTGAGGCAGAGGTCATTTTCTTAGTTCCGGGTTTTCAATGTTAAGAAGTATCTCTACCCCACTGTGACTACAGCTAAGACATCACATATTTTTGTTTCATCAACATAGCCTTAGTGGAAAAGAAACCATTACTGAAGTAAAAGCCTGATCACAGCAGAGATCTAGAGAGAGGGACCGAATTTCCCAGGGTAACTGGACTCCACCTTACCACTCATTTCACAAATAATGGGTGTGAGCAAGCGTCAGGATGAGCTCTAATGTTAAATCAATTCCCAAGTTGGTGGGAAATTGAAGAGGTGATCTCCAGCCCCTGGCTCTGGTACACTATGCATCTCAAGTTTGTGGCTCCATTAGCCTCTTAACTGACAGCACTGCCTCTGGCATGGTCTCCTGATAGCACTGCCTCTGGCATCATCTGTTTATAGAGGAAAATTTTGGTCAGGTTTATGCCTTATGCACAAAAGTCCTTCCTTTGACTTCAGAGAAAAGCAATGTGATCAAAAGAAGCTGCACTTGGGATCCTGTCCCCTTTCCACCCTGCTAGAGTACACCCTTTTAGTCGTTCAGTCGTGTCCAACTCTTTGTGACCCCATGGACTGTAGCCTGCCAGGATCCTCTGTCCATGGGACTTCCCAGGCAAGAATACTGGCGCCATTTCCTTCTCCATGGGACCTTCCCCACCCCTGGATCGAAGCCACATTTCCTACGTTGGCTGGCGGGTTCTTTACTACTGAGCCACCTGGCAAGCCCAGAGTATACCCTTTGTCTCGCTCCAAAACCTAAAGAGAGCATCTCTTCTGTGAACCCTTCCTGGTTTCCAGCGCCTGCAACAGTGAAGTGAGCTGGAAGGCATGTGGCTTCTCGGGTCTCAGCCCTGACTTCCTGTGGCCCCTGTGAAGATTTTACCAGGGGCATCTGTCCACATTTCTCTCCCAAGTTCTGGTCGGTGGGTCTGAAATATAGCTATGGCTCTTGCATTATTTTAACTTCCACAGGGGATGGGCAACAGATGGGGTGGGAATAAATGCAATAGGCCAACCCTTTAACTTAGAGATGAGGGCATAGAGACCACAAAACACTACACAGACAGACGTGTGTTCCCTCCTGGAAACAGATCCTTCAAAGACTTGAACTCCTCGCAGCAGTGTCTCCAGAACCTAGAACTGGATCTACCTAGAAGGCTGATTTGTTGGCAGAATTGTGCAGTGAGTGAGTGAATATAATGTCAAGCTTCAGCCGGAAACTGGTCCAGGATAGCGCACTGGAGCCTGTGGAAGGTGCCTCCCCCCGCCCCCTCACACTAGTTTGCTGGGTTATTCACCCTGTTTGCTTGACTTAAACAGTCTTCCTTGCACCAGCCTGCGCTGTCGCCTCCCAGGCTCTCTAATTGCGTTGCAGCATAGGAAGTCAAGGTTAGTCACAGCCAGCCAGAGGTGACCGGCCGGCCCCTGTGGGAGCACACGCCTGAGGGAGTGTCTGGAGTCTGGGGAAAATGGGGCAGGAAGGTCAGGGGCGTGGAGACCAGCGCGGGCTTTGAGACGGGAGGCCCAGCACCCGGGCAGTTGCGGGAGGTGGAGCGGGAACGGGGAGGGCCGGTTGGTGGCGGCCTGGCTGAGAGGGAGGGGCCGTCAAACCTGCTGGGTGGCGGCTGCACTCTGCGCGCAGCAAGGCAACGGACCGACGGCCGGGAGGCGCTCGGCGCAGGTGAGACGCTGGCTGCGGGCAGAGGGCTCTGAGCGCGGCCAACGAAGGGGGGCTTGGTCAGGGGAGGCGGCGCGACTCGAAAGGGCAGGGAGGCGCTGGAGGCCCAGGGATGGGAAGCTGACCCGGGGCCCCCTCGGGGCTGGCCGATGGCGCACCTGGCGGCTCCCACCGCGCCCCGAACCTGTGTCCGATCGCGGGCTGCCCTGGGGTGAATATTGCTGCGGCTCCAGCCTGGCAGGGCGATCGTGTCGCCCGGGGAGACGAGCTCCCCAGTGTGAAGCCCCAGCATCCGTTCCGCCCCAGAATCGGAAACTCCCGCGGGGACGGCTGGCGTCCCGCCTGGAGACCAGAGCTGTATTGCGTCCGGGGCTCATGGCGCATCTATAGCGACCCTCAACGGGCAGTGCCACCCCCATGAGGGCGCCGACCACATCCCCCCTTAGGCCAGGAACCCTGAAGGTTAACAGCAAGAGGCGATTGACAGATACTGTCCCCTGAGCCATTATTTCGCTTCCACGAAGAGGCCGAGAGATGTGAGGGGCAGAGGGCGAAGGTTAGCGGTGCTTGGAGAGGTTTTAGGTGTTCCTGTCTGGGTCCAGAGGGAGAGCCCCTGGAGACAGGAGCTAACTCTAGACGTAAGAAGGGTTGTGTTGCAACAACGGGGAAACCAGTCACTTTCTGAAATAAATCACTTTAAAATTTTAGCCAGGTGCCTGTCTAAAAGTAGCGGAAATGACCCCTTCCTTCACGTTCTCTTCCACCATGGCCCTCTGCGACTGCCGTTTTCCTCGAATCCCTGACCCTTGGCACCGTCGCCCCACCCATGGCTCTGCTTGACTCATAAAGTGACAAATGGATTTTGCCTGTATTTTTACATTCACTTTAATAAGTAATGTAGCTTATGGTTAAAGGAAATGTGTCCTGTTTTTAACCCGATGTGCAACACATTCAATACAATCTGGGTTTTGCCCCATGTTGAACACCGTTGGGGAGAAAAATACTACACTGTGAGCTATGCAGCCTACACCTGCTCTTCATGACTGAGAGCTTGTCTGCTTGATATGATGTAGTTACCCTCTATTCCAGCGTCTCTGGAAAAGTTGTGGGATTAATGTGAGGGCTCTATTAATATGTCCCCTTAATTTTACAAGGGGAGGGCACCTGACATAGGCTGAGGAAGAAGGTGTGGTTTCTGGTTATGAATTATCTGTTCTGGTACTACAGGAGGCAAACATTCAATTTTCTTTTCAAAGACCTTAGATTTCCTCTTACTTCATCAATACACAATGGAAACAGTGGCTTGCTTATCTCACACTCTGCAATTTTCCTTACATTCTATAGGTTCCTCCCTGCCCCTACTGGGGGGTGTTGGTTATGATGAGCTAGGTGAAGTTATTGAATCTCACCAGTAACTTTATTTAAAGTATGACACCAATATATCCTTGGTAATGTGTCTTCCCTAATCTTAGCACAGGGCATTTCAAAACTGTTGGGATTTGGCCAGGGCTGAGGGAAAAGGGGGATATAAAGAAAAACTTCCGCTTTCTTATCTCACCACCACCTTCAAGGTAACATTAGCTGCCATGCTCAGTTGGTCAAAGTACAGATGTTACCTATCTATGTAGGCTGTAATCAAAAGATTATCTCTCCCTCAAGTGCATCTGCTCATTGAAAATGGATAAAGGCAATTTTCCTGTACATAGGGCCACTCCCGTAGCCAAAGTTCCTGTTATTGCAAACCTGTTTATGATTGTAAGAGAGCAGAAGTCGCTATTGTGTTATCAGCTAATGGCTGCATCTGTAGACAAATCTCCAGTTTACACTTGTTTCTACAGACAGGTTTTATAGCAAAAACTAGATTATTCACAATACTATACAATATTGAATATGGACAATTATTAGCCAAAGATAAGTGATGTATTTCCCACATTTTGTTTGAACCCAGCTTCCCTTTTAACCAACCAGCCCTCTCCCCTGGGGTTAGAAACAGAGATGATTTCAATTTTAGCTGTTTTTGTTTCTCTTGTCTGTTCGCCTACATAAAAATAAAATGGGTCTCAAGGTACACGACAGAAGGAAGAAGGAGACTCGAAAGATCTATCCACCTTGTGTGAAGAATTAAGTGGCAAACATCGAAGCACGCTCGTGTATTCCCCTGGCAGGATTTAGATGTCTAAGCCATTATCCATCTCTTCCTGGTATCAAATTATAATGGGGTTTTACAGAGTACTGGGCACTTTCCTTAATAAGCAGCATTGTGAGGTCAGAGTGTTGTTGTTTCTGTTTAGTCACTAAGTCGTGTCCAACGCTTTTGTGACCCCACGGACTGTAGCCCTCCAGGTTCCTCTAGCCATGGGATTTCCCAGGCAAGAATACTGGAATAGGTTGCTGTTTCCTTTCCAGGGCATCTTCCCCACCCAGGGATTGAACCCACATCTCCTCCATTGGCAGGCGGGTTCTTTACTGTTGAATCATCAGGGAGGTCAGAGTTACAGCCCTATTTCATAAACGAGGAAACAGACTTAGAGACAGTTTCTGTGCCAGGCCTATGTGGCAGAGCCAGATCTCAAGCCAGAAATCCCTCTATGACATCACAACTCCTCATGTGTTCTTTGTCGCTTAGTTTGTTTAATTTAGATTGGGGGGTGGTTTGTGTTTTGTTTAATATATTTTGACTTGAACTCATAGAGTCTAAATATAGAAACACTCTTTGGGGTACATTTCATAGCCATCTTTGTTCAATGTGATCACAAAATATTTTAGGGCTGAGGATAGCCTTAAAGATTATTAAGACCAATCTTCTTGTTTTCAAAGAAGAAAAGTGGATTCAGGGAAAATTAAACACCCCATGAACCTTCCCTAAATGTACTTTGCTAATGAATTACAAAGAAAACATAGGTCTCCCAGTGTCCAGACAGTTGCTATTTCTGACATGTGGTCTCCTGAAGATTTCCTACCTACATAAATTGAATGGTTTATTTCCATTGACTCTGTTGCTTTAGGGTCTGTGACAGCAAACCATAGCCCCTCTGAATCCTGAATTCAGATACCTGTAGATTCTTCTACTCTAACTGTATTCCACACTACATGAGGGAGAGAATCTTATTTATCAGGGCTATTGTGTCATTCCTAGCACACTGCCAAAAGCACTCAAAAAAAAAAAGTGTTCAATATACAGTATATCAAACACACTTTTGAATAAGTATCAGATGTCATGAGGACTTCGTGTAGCTACAAGTCACAGGAGACCCTGCTATGGGAGGCTCAGTAAGTAAGGAGTTTGTTCTTCTCAGCACCAGATGTCTGGAAGTGCAAAGTCCAGAGCTAGAGTAGGCTCATTCCACTCTTATCATGCTTTCAGCCTCACTTGAGGACAGGCAGCTCTTCTGTGCTTAATAGAAAGAAGGGCAGAAGCCATGTACCACTTGAGTCTGTCCCTTTTTTATAATATAATAAGTCTCTTGTATATGAACCTTCAAGTTGTGAACTTTCAAGGATGTGAACATGCATTCCATCACGATCACATGTGAGGGTAACTGCAGCCTGCCCTCTGTCTCTTGTTGCTGACGATCCTTCAGCTCAACCATCTCCCCCCTCCTCTTCTTCCTCGTCAGTAACTGTACATTTCAAGGGACTGTTCAGTTCAGTTCAGTCACTCGGTCGTGTCTGACTCTTTGTGACCCCATGGACTGCAGCATGCCAGGCTTCCCTGTCCATCACCGACTCCTGAAGCTCGTACCAGCTCCTGGAGAAGTACCCACTACAAGGTACTGTACTATAGGATTAAAAATATTTTCATTATTTTTGTGTATGTTTTTTATACATTATTTGTGTGAAAAGTATTATAAACCTATTACAGCACAGTACTATACAGCCAGTTGTATTGGGTACCTAGGCTAACTCTATTGGATTTACAAACAAATTGGACTTACAAACACACTCTCAGGGCTTCCCTGGTGATCTAGTGATCCTGCCTAGCAAGATACTGGCTTGATGCCTACTATGGCAAGATCCCACATGCCATGGAGCAACTAAGCCCATGAGCCACAACTACTGAACCAGCACTCTAGAGCCCTTGAGCCAAGCTCCGCAACAAGAAGCCTGCACACCACAGCTACAGGGTAGCCCAGGCTAGCCACAACTGGAGAAAAGCCTGATGCAGCAATGACGACCCGACAGAGCCCCCCTCAAAAAGGGAGAGACTCAGAACCGAGATTATTCATATGTAGGGGACTTACTGCCACATTAAGATCTTTCCAGGAAGCTCCAACCGGTAGACCCCTTATATCTCACTGGCATAAAAATTACACCACACAACCACCCCAAACTGTAAGGAGCCTGAGAAAATCTAAATCTAGTGTTTTACTTGGATGTGTTGCCAATACAGCAAAACAAGGATCCTGTGACTAAGGAAGAAAGGATATCTGGTAAAGCAAATAGCAGCATCTGCCACAGTGTGTTTTATGGGTCACTGACTCTGTTTTCTACATCTGCTGTTGTTTTTCATTTTATTTACTTTTTTTTTGTTTGGTTAACTAAAAAGAAATAAATAAGACAGTGGATCTAGGGAACTTTTTGAAATTGTAGGTTCCAAGTCTGGCCCTGAGAAATGCTGATTATTTAGGTCTGGGATGGGTCTATGAATCTGAATTATAAACTGGGCACTGCAGGTAATTTGAATGCAGGTGGTCACAGGACTACAACTTGAAAAACACTGAATTTGGAGGAGTTTGGTAAAGGCTGCTTCATTTTATTCCAACAGCTTTCTGTCTCACTCCTCTTGAGACTATCACTTTTTTTTTTAATTCCCCATTTTGGTCAAAACAAATAAAATAGAAAAGATAGGAAAATTAGAATTCGGATTCAAGAGATCCAACATCTAAGAAATTAATATAAGTTTCAGGAAGAATAGTAGGAATTATATAACAGAAAAAACCACCCACAACTGAAGAGTATGATTTTTAGATTGAAAAGGTAAAGTACTTAGAACAATAACCAAACCAAACAAAAAAAGCCCAACATCAACTTAACAACACCATGAAATATCAGAGCATGAGGATAAAAAAAGAGAAGGCCCTACAAACTTATAGTTTTAAAGAATCTGCCTGCCAATGCAGGAGGCACAAGAGATGTGGATTAATCCCTGGGTCAGGAAGATTCCCTGGAGAAGGAAGTGGCAACCCGCTCCAGTACTCTGGCCCGGAAAATTCCATGGACAGAGGAGTGTGGTGGGCTACAGTCCATGTGGTCACAGAGTTGGATATGACTGAGCACACACATACATACACA